ATTATTTTATTTATTTATTTATTTTTTTCATACACGTTTGCTCGGACCAAATGTGTTGCAGATGTACCATGAGCTGAGGCTGTGCTGCTGAGGTGGGGCTTCATAAAAAACATTACCAATCCATGATAAATCATCTTCCCCAATTTGCTACAACAAGTAGAATTAGGATTGGGGGAATGTGAGCATCAGCAGAATCTGGTACACACTGCATTTCCAGAAGGGCTTCTTTCATTTTTTTTTCTTTCTCTGAATGATGACTGAAGTGGACTCAAGATTTGTTCTTGGAACTGGATTTTACATGCGTTTCAGTTTGATTAATTTTGATCCTGGGTCTTTATTCAGAGAACTTGTCTTAAGTCTCTGTCCTCAATAACAAATCCACATTAACAAGCACCCAACAGACCGTCTATTAGAATGTGAAAAAGCGCCATGTGCTGTATATTAGTTTTTAGTGACTAAACACTTGGGAGAGAGGCGACCTAGAATCAAGCCTTGTGGTGCACTGAGTGTATATGTTCTCATCGTCCTCTCAGCTCTACTTCTGAGACACAGAGAGGGAGAATGCTCATTAGATATATGTGCTGAATTGCTGCTCCCTCTCCATCTCTCTCCCATCCTCCCCAACCTTCATCCTTCTCTCTCTCTCTCTTTCGTTCCCCCTCTCTCCAATTGCGCCTCTATCCCTGTCTCTCTCTTTCTCTCTTTCCCGCTCTCCGTCCGTCTGCTTAACAGATGGGAGGGTCATGGGTACAGCTCTTCCCCTCCCCCTGGAGAGGCCTGGTGCCTGTTCAAAGGATTCCTCTTTATGCTTCACTCCATTTCCCTATCTCTTCATTAAAAAAAAAAAAAAGTTTTTCTCCCTTGTCTCCTCGTTCTCTTTCATTGTCACCTCTCCAAATCAAAGAGCAGAGAGTTGGAAAGTGGGGTACACAACAAGCAGAGGAGCAACCACTGTCCATCTGCCTGCCTGATGCCAACACACTCTCTGTCCTTAGCAATTGCCTGCTCTCGTCTCTCCCTTCAGTTTCCAGATTGGTATGAAGGCAGACTTACCATTGGTCAGACTCCTCATTGAAGACAAATAAAGTCTTTGGTGTATTATTCATTTTCTTCAACTCAATCCCTTGCTTGCTCACGCCTTACTTTGGGATTAGCAAATTGGCTGCAAAAGCTTGTTAGTTCTTTCTCCTGTGCATCTTCATTCATCCTCTTTTCCTTTCTCACCTCGTTTGCCCTCTCAAGGTCAGATGTGCTTGTGAAAAATTCCTGCTCAGGATCCCTGCCCTTTGCCACTTGACACTTGTTTACGAAGCAGTGCTTGTTTTTGCACGTTCCTCCTTCACCTCCCCTTTAGCTGTGTGGTTAAATTGGATTGAGTGATTCAGTGGTAATCTGTTAACTGATGCTCCTTTCAACACAGGGGAAGGAGAAGGGAAAGGGAACATGATGGGGAGGAGGGAACTCGATTTTTAACATGGAGCTGCCTGGCATTCATTTGGGATAGGGGTGGGTGTAAAGAACAGTGGTGTGGCTTATGGTAGCTAGGAAAGAAACTTTCTCTGAGTGGGTGGAGGTAAAAGAGGCAAAACTGAGAGGGGATAGATGAGTGGTGGAGGTTCTGAGGCAGGGAAGTGCATGCCTAAGTTGCAAGCAGCAGCACAGCCTCACCTCAGGGAGCATTGGCTGGTGCTGGGAGCCAGAAGTAGGGATTAAATGTTCAGGACATCAGCTTAGTCTTAGCATTAATGTTACATAAGGCCTAAGGTGTTGCCCCTGCGGGTGTTGACATTGAGAGGTTCAGTTGTGCTCACTGAGCTGTGGGTGGAACGAGCAGGAGGTGGAAGTGGTGGCCAGGAGGCAGAGATCACAGAGGTAACGCCTCCTTGTTTGGAGCGATGCCTGGGCTGGGTAGTGTTGAGCACAAAGACTGGGAGGGATTGTCGCTGTCAGCCTGTGATTGAGGTACGCCAGCTTGATTGATATGCTTGTCTGGCTGTCTTGTGCCAAACGATGTTAGTGTTGGTTTGTAATCCTTGTTTGTCTGACAACATACTTCATTGGTTTGTTTTTGTTCTTTTTGTTTCCAGAGTGCAGTTTTTTGTTTTTGCTCCATAGCTGGGTGTGTTTTCTTCAGAGCAATGTTAAAATATTTTGGATGGCCTCCTCTGAGTTATTTTAGATTGTATTATTATGACGGCGCAGTCTGGCCAGTGGGCGTACTCCACACCAGCAACTTTGTCATGCAGTTTATCATTGCTGCAGTTGTTTGGTCTCAAACGGTTTTCTTTTGCTGCCAATGAATATTTTGAATTGAAGATATAATACACAAAAGATTGATGTCATGTTTTTTTAGGAGATGTAGTACACATGGGTTCCCCAAATGTAATTATCTAAAAATTCCAATTTAACAATCACAAAAAGCATAGATCCTTTTATTTTTTTAGCACTGATGCTGTCATCTCTCTGCTTTTTCTAATTCCCCCTTCCTTTAAGAAGACTTCTGGATGAGTTCTATTAAAAAAAGAATAAAGCACATTTAGCTAGTATGGACTAATACAATAAAATTAACTATTAACCATAGGCTCAGATGGTGTTTCTATTAAAATCAATGATTGAATGGTCTTCTTTTCAAAATAAATACTCTGTTTTTTATCAAGGACTTTAATGTATATAAAACAACAGTGTTGTTCCAGCACATGTAAGCCATATAGCTGCTTTCATAGCATCTCGTCAAGATATTTGCATTTGCCTTTGGACTCGTAAAGCCCAAACACTCATTTGCGTTAGATTATAGATAATACCCTACAGGCCTTTGGTATGTCACTATCACTCGTATGCCTGGATGTTCCTATTACACACTTTCATTATCAGTGTCCTACTCTCTAGTACAAAGAGGTCAAGTGCATTGAAATGTGCTGCACTCACCTCAGGGGTTTAGAGCCTTCTTGTGCTTTCTCATGCATGTTACTCAATAAATACATGGATTCAGGTTGAGGTGGAAAAGGGGGTAAAAAGGGTAAAGAAAGTACATTACAATGTTTCTGTATGTGTGTGGTAGCGCTCACATGAGAGAGCAAGGGTTTTATGAGAGAAGAGAGAGACTGAGACTGACATGTCTTTTGGTGAGGCAGTGTCGTCTTCCACATCAGTGTCTGATGCTTGTGCTGCCAGGTGCCGGAAATCTGGTTCAGAAAGGAGAGAAGAGAGAAGAAGGGGAAAGTAGAGAGAGAGGGAGAGAAAAAAAAGGCAGGGTAGATGGAAGAATTTTTTTTAATGTGACGGCAGTGACAGCTCCCCTGCATTGCACTGAGCTTAAATAATGGGATGCTCATTTGCATAACGAGGGACGTTATCACCTCTACTGTCAAAAGAAAACACAACAACAGTTCTTGTGCTCCTCCCTGAGATAGATTGGGTTGGCCTACTTTAGCACTCTGGAGAGATGCACTGGAGCTCTGGCTTAGCCAAGCTCTCACAAGAACACACACACACATACACACACTCGTGCGTGCACACACACACACACTTACACGGACACACAGTCACTCACTCACGCTAACTTTTTGGAGCACAGCTTTCTTCTTTGCACATGCAGTCCAGCTCAGCAGCTGCTGGCCTATGCTCAAGAAACTCAGGTACAAACACACGCAGAGTAATCTGTTGTCACACAAGCAAACATGCATTTGTTCACATGCTTCTCAGATGTACTTTCTGACATTCAGCATCTCCAGCTGGAATAACTTCATGTTGGAATTTTGTTTGATTTCAGTCTCTTAGAAACACAATTTTACTATCAGCCATCAAAAGATGATAGACTTTGGCACTTCCTTATTGTTTTTTTTTTTAACTTGGCTTTATTTTGTCAGTACATGGTAAGACTGAGCTCACTTTTACATCTGCTTACTATCTTGTGACGCAAGTCTCAGCCATTTTTGAGATGTGCAGCAGATAGCGTGGAAATATCTGTGTCTGGCAGTTTTACTGTCAAAAGACTGTAGTTTCGTGGGAAGGAACAAAATGCATTTCTCCGTCTGAATGTAATGTTACAGTGTTGGTGATTAGAGCATTTAAGTTAGCAGCACTTCCAAAACACTGTCAAAGTCTCTGTGAACGAGGCAAGATCCTGACAGCGCTGTCTCCTTATAGTTGGTGTCTTAGAAAAGAAGAAAAAAAATGCAAAATCTGATTTGCATGATATCGACAATGAAAAACACAGCAGCTCTCACATTGTTGACAGATTCTTTGTCTTTCTTCACCCTCCCTGGTGGCTGCCATGATGCCACTTTTATTTTTTTTTTTTCTCCTCAGTTTTTTTCCATATTTCATTGTATTTAATACTCGTCCTCTCCTCCCCCACCTCTTTTCTGTTCTTGCAGGTACAGATGCTGGAATCTTTGAGCTGATTGAAACAAATAGAAAGCAAAGAAAAGACAGTTAAAGGACGACCAGAAGAGTGAAGAGAAAGGTGACGAAAGGGAGAGGAAGAGAAAGGAGAGAGAAGAAAGCACAAAGTTTCTTTAGACAAAAGGAGAGAAAGAAAGAGACGGGGACGATGGGGAGGAAAAAGATTCAGATCACGCGGATTATGGATGAACGCAACAGACAGGTGAGTCCCAGGGGGATGGGAGGATGGATGAGTATGAAGGTGGAGGAGGTAGGAAGGAGAAACACCCTACACCCCACATAGCACTCGACAATAAAGGTCTTCTGGGAGTCTGGCATTATATGAACTGGGGGACAGAGGAGTGTGGTGGGGTAGAACAGTTACCACTGTGGATGGAAGGGTTATGTTGGCTTGTAGTAGCAGGTGTGTCTCTCATCAATCTACAAAAACAAAAAGACACCTGGAGCACGTTCCATATGAAAATACAGGCTGGTGGTCTGCCTGCTGGGCATTGCTGCTTGACGCACCTCCGCCAGTGCCTTTGTGCTCATCTGCTGGCGTGCTCACCTGAACACCTCCCTTGGCCCCACTAGTGCCTGAGTGTCACTAGTGGTGCCAACGTACCTCAAGGGTGATTTCCTTGGTATGATCACGGGGTGGGGATTAGGGGTGTGGCAGGGGAATTATTGGGGGTCATCCTTATACTTACCTTCAGGGTATGGGAAGGGACTGGGGTAAGGGATGAGGTGGAATGGGGTGGCTTGCTGGACTATGGCTTTTCCTGAATAGTTGGTTGTTTTTTATAAATTGAATATCTTAATGTAAGACACATCTTCAGTAGTGGGCCTTAGGGTCATCGAGTGTTTTGGCCATTATCACTAGACACTCTCCACCTAGGAAGGCCCCGCTGGGGTTGATCATACCCCAGGGTGTGTCTTGTTAATTAATTACTATTAGGTTTGTAACTAGATTCCTAACTTAGATTGGTGGCCTTTTCTGCGCTAGAGTTACCGTTTATTATTTAGTTATGCCTATTGTGTTTACTATTGTGGCTAAATTTACGTTAAAGTGAATGGGTCATGCTTTGTTTGGCCCCCAACTCACCTCTTTCCTCCTGAGCTACAGCCAAAAGCTGCCCTTCTCTGCCTCTTCTGCCAGTTCCCTCATGGCTTTCCTGCGCCCTGCTCCTGTGCATCCCACGTCGACGACAAAGCCCCTGCATCCTACTTCAACGGGGCACATGATGGTTTTCCAGCCAGCCTCTCTGAATTCTGCTGCCAAGTCTGCGTACTTTGCATGTTTCTGCTCGTTGGCAGCCTCCATGCCTTCCTCCAATGGGACGGTAAGCTCCACCATCAGAATGGTCCTGCGTGGTTCTGACCACATGATCAGATCTGGCCGGAGCAAAGTTTATGTGATCTCCCTGGGAAATTGGAGCTGTCTCCCCAGGTCAACCCTCATCAACCACTCGCTGCCTGGTGAGAGTACCGTTGGTGTTACTCTCTGGCGAATGTAAACCGTATCAGAGGTATTGCTGAGGTGGAAGGTGTGTTGTTGGCCTTCTGTCTGCATGACTCCGCCACCTCTGCCAGCTTCCCTAACACCAGGACACCTGTAGCGGCCTTGGGACAATGCGGTATTACAGCCTCACAGGATATGCTGGAGGCTTGCATTGCCAGTGCTGCACAGGGCACGGGACTCTTTTGCACCAAACCACAGGTGGAGATTTCTGGGACAAGGCATGGTATCGTAGGACGACCTGATCAAGAAGCTGAGCCTGGCCTGGGGGATCTTCCACATATCAGTCCACCGTTTGTAACACCTTCCCATGACATCCAGCCTCCCTGTCGGCTCTGAACCACTGCTTTGATTTTAAGGCGTTCCAGCTCGGTCCTTGTCACCTCTGCCACCACCATGGCTTTCTGCTTTTCTTTCGAGGCCTTTGACCAGAAGAGGGTGGTCTTGCTCCATCCAAGGCCTGCTCGGCCCTCCTGGACACTGCCGACTACCTCACAGTGTTTATCCTGCTCTGTCCACCTCTTCCTGGCCGTTTGTAACACCTTCCCATGACA